TTAATAAATGGGATAGAGTACCTTGTTTTACACATTAATTGCATTAGACTAATAGTGACTAGAGACAACAAACTCTGTTACTCTTTATTAGTCTATTAGAGACTTACAGTATAGATAAGCACTAAATTGAAGTGCCTACTATCACATAATCAGGTTATTCTACGCATTCTTATACAATTTATAATTTTTTTTTAAATTTATTAACCACATCAAACATGATAGGCCTGCATCGGACCCCTGGGCACATTGAGCCCACATTTGCTTCTCCATTTATCACCATTATCTTTCTTCATTGCATGCCAATTTATATTTCCCTCCCTAACATCTCCTATTCTGCCCCTTCCCATACTATCCAACAACCCAAACCCTAGTTTATTTAGAGAAACACGACCTATTCATCCTTCTAATCAAGATACTTTTCCATTAAACATCTTATTCTCCCAATACCCTAGTTTAGGTGGTTGCTGCACTGAGAATCCAGCAAATATTCATCCCTCGTGTACCCCAATTGACCTCCCAAAAATAATTTAAGTCCACATCCAAAAATATATTCCATAACCTAATCCAATCCCGCTCATACACATAATTGCCACCCTAAACCTCATCTATTTGCTGGAACTATAAATCCAGGAAGAACTTACTGAACCACAAGCTTCCTAATATTCATTCCATCTTCAGACCAACCTTGGACGATTCTCCTACGCCATATTCATATTCTCTGAGTCAAAGAAACCTTTGAACAAATCACTGCCAACTCCAACCACCTAAAACCACTCCAAGTTCAAAACCTTCTACCACCTGGCCCCCCTAGTTTATTACATCCTCTATCTTTGAGAGCCCTTTGTAAAAATAACCAGAAACCTTGCTGGAGCGGCAACTCCAGTATAATTCTCTGCCTTATCAGCCCCTTGAGTCCTCCAACGTAGTCCTAGAAATACCAAAACTCTACCTTTACCCCATTTCAAGTACCCCAAGTTAAGGTTTATACTTTCATATTCACCTCCAAATGTGTAGGAGCAAAGGGATCTGGTCCTACATCACAGTACCACCTCCGGAGAGAGCTGATTTAAAAAAATAAAGGAAAAAATAGCCCCAAAAAAAATATTATAAAGAATAAACATTTCCCCACCTTGTTTGGCTGGTCCGATTGCCAAAACTAACCAAACACTAGTTTCAAGTAGTTTCTTACCAAATCCAGTTTTGGCTTGGGATTGGACTGTCTGCAAGGCAACTTGACCAGTTAATCTGCCATTTTGACATGGTATTAAACTCTTATTAACCAGAAGAATGCCCCCAGAAATTGGTTCAATCAATATTGTTGTGCCTCAAGCCCCTAAAACATCTGTTAAAGATATTCAAAAAAGAAAAGGTTGAAAGGAAATATGTACTAAATACGTATCGAAAGTGAAAACTACAAATAGTTCTCTGGGCCAATAACAATTTTAGTATCAAGCAAGCAACCTTTTCAATGCAACCAGCTTCGACAACTATTGGATGAAGTCCAAGAATATAGCTTGGTCCAAGTACCTAAAGTTTTCAAAAGCATAGCAAACCTTTATTCTGAAAAAGAATCGGAGAACAAAAAAGCATTTCAGGATATTAAATGGAATAAAACCAATTAGAAAGGAAGGATGGATAGTTGAATATACAAATAGGAGGAAAACATTAACTAATTCTTTTGACAATCATCTTATTAGGACAATGGTTTTCGAGATGCCCTCACCCAATTTAAACATAATACCCAATTCTTAGATTTTTCCATGCCAAAACATAGAATTTTGAAGAAGATGAGTGTATTGCATGCTATCACTGACACCATTATGAATTGCATGGAAGATGGTAATTTCTTTCTTTTTGAACAAGATAATTTTATTGCTAAAGGTAGTAGATACCTTGTATTAACAGAAAAAGGGATTCTCAAAACATGCAATAACAGCCTGGGCCTATATATTTCCACAGGTACAAAAACGATGTAGTAACGTCGACAGTAAACAACAACTGAAGAGTGGGTGGTTGTTGAGGTAATGGGAGTAGCCATTGTCAACAACAAGATTAAGATAAGACTACCCAATGACAGTGGTTCCCCAGTAGCCCCTTCCCTTATGAGGGTGGAAGATGCTATGTTATCGATAAGGTAAATCCACCATCTATTTAAAGACATTGTGAATTGTATCAATCTCATGCTTGAGAATATTTCAAAGATGAAAATTTTTTGTGCTTTCCAGTGGCATCCATAGACAAGTTCTTAAGTATAAAGTGATTCTACAAGAAAGAAACAGAAATGTAAAATAATGAGTCCTCATTAGGTTGAAAAAAACACAAGAGAAACTTAACTTCAAAAAAGCAGTTTGCAAGCAGTCCAAACATGTAGGCGTGTTTGACTCTTGGATGACTAGGCTTTGGAAGCAGTGCCTTCCAAGGAAGTGGAACTGGCGGCTTCCACGCCAAGGAAGCTGCCAGTTCCTATTTTCACTATATTTTGGGTGCCATAGGATACCACAGCTCCCAGAAACATGCAGCATTCCCAAATAATAAATAAATAAATATATATAGATAGATAGATAAATATATATATATATATATATATATATATATATATAGAGAGAGAGAGAGAGTTGTGAAAGATGGACTTACTACGTGGATTTTTTTTTAACAAAAAATTATTTTTTGTCATATTTTACTCATCAAGTAGAGGTGTTTGTGTAAATATCACTAAAAGGCAAGGGACATTTTGGTCAGTTTCATAGGGCGTAAAGTTGAAAGTTTTACTGAAGGACAATGGTAATCTACAAATATAGTTCCAAGACACTAACTTCCAAAATACCATTATACTTTTGTGAAAATTTCAAATTTGTCATTCCTTAATGATCAAGTTACCGATTAAAATAATTTTTTACATAAAGTAATATTTTTTAATAAATACACCAATCCCAACTCATTCCAACATTAACTTTTGCATTTTGAGGGGTTGTTAACTTTAGACAAACCCGTGTATTTATATATATATATATATCTATATATATATATCTATATATATATATATCTTAGGAAGAAGCAGTTTCCAAAACAGCCTCCTCCAAAAATCTTTAGTGCTTCCCAGTGGCATCTGTAAACCAATTCTTAGATAAAATGCGGTTTTAAAAGAAAGGAAACTAATGAGTCCTCTTTAGCCTCAAAAATATTCACAAGCAACTCCACTTCAAAAAAATGGTTTGCAAGCAATCCAAACATATGGAAATACATATATAAATATCAGTGCTTCTCAAAGTATACAGCCTTATCAAGACTAGACCGGCCATTCAGCCGGTGAAGGGACTAGTTTGCTTGAAACCAGTCGGCACGCCAAACCAGTTTTTAGAAAATAAGAATATAAAAGTTAGAGAATAATTAAGAAATATTAGGGAAAAAGAAAAATAAGTGACAAATCTAAAGCGAAAAAGGAAGAAATTTGGGTTCTGTGAGACTTTGGCAATCATGGATTTCGGGCTCAAAAGTAGTGGATTATGACTATCAAACCAACACAATTTCATGGTTTTTAGCTTGAAATAGTAGATGAAGACTGCTAATCTAACATATTATGTGTCTAATCTAACATATTATGTGCACGAGGGAGAAAAGGCACAAAGGCATTGCCTTTGTGCCTTTTCTCCCTCATGCACATAATATGTCACATAAGATAGAGAATTGAAAAAAAAAATGGTTGCAAAAGCAAATAAAAATAGAATGAGAACACGGTAAGGTTCCATTGAGTGGCGATATTGTTTGGCCAAAACTTTGGGATCATATTACAAATACGGAAGTTGGGTAGGGTGATAAATGGATACAGAGAAGAAGAAAAAAAACAGTTACAAGATCCACCAAAACTAAGTGAGAAGTCCAATTATGGACTAGAAAAAAAAAAACTCATATAACATCAAAAACAGGCCGATAGGACCAATCCAACCACTCAAAGCCAATTTAGACCAGTTTTGGTTTGATGACCCTACTATACCATCCAAGGGGCTAGTTACATGCCCAACCAGTTGGACTGGGCCTTCTAGTCTGGTTAGGTTTTGATAACGCTATGTACAATATGCATATAAGATATTAGATATGTTAGAAAATTCGGGCTCAAAACTCAGCCTGCCCGAGCCAAGTAACTCAGGTGAGTCCAACTAGACTCTACAGTCTTGAACAAGCCCATAAAGGGCCGAATAAATCACCCAAATATACAAACAATTGTTCAAAAAAAAGATCAGTAAAAAGAAAAATAAGTAATAAAAAGCATTAAAAGTCTATAAAAGATGGAAAAAGTACATACACGATGGATTATGAACAAAATTGATTTACAGCTTGAAACAATTTAGGAAAATCCCAGAAAAATGGAAAAGTAGAAACTTATGCATATAATAAGAAAAATTCACAAATCATCATAAAAACATTAAAATTATATAGAAACATAATTTCAAATCACTTATTATTGAGTTATTAACAAAAAATTTAATTCTTAAGTGAGTTTAAGAAGCCTGGGTTTGTCTAAGAAACTCGTCTTAGCAAAGTGGCGAGGACCGGCCGAGTCCGAGTGGAATCAAAGGAGGTTTGAATCACTAGAAATTATGGAAGTACTAAAAAGTAGAAGAAAGGAAGAGTCACAACAGGAGCCCCAGCACACACAAGCAGTTACAACATAAATCCACAAATACAGGACAGGCTCTAGGCAGAGGTGGTTAGGGTATCCAGAACGTGACAATTAAAGTTCCATTCCTGCCAAATACTACGTTAACATTCAAAACACCCAACTGTTATTCAAACGAAATGCAAAAAAAAATATGACTCAAAAGAGTTGCAGAAGATAGTAGCATTAATCCCACCAACAAAGCCATCAGATGATTGGATCAAAAAAACAAATGGAAAAAAAAGAAATATTAGTACCTCACGAGGAAATTTCATGAAAAAGGAGGGAGGGACGGATTGAGAGAGAGAGAGAGATTTCAAATGGGGGAGAAAGAGGAGAAGAGTACCTTGGAAATGGAAGAGGGCATCCAAGCAATGGAGGTGACAGCAGGTCTTGCGCCTGAGGCGGTTGGGTTTGGAGCAAGAGCTTTGACGCAGAGGCCCTGCTTCACATTCCACACTGACAAATTCTCGAGCGCCCCACTGAACAAAAGCTTCCCGCTGCAGTCATAACAAATGTTGGACTCTGCAGAAGCCACCACCCCGAACACCGCCCCTGCTTCGTACCTTAGGTACGCCTTCACCATTTCTCTCTCTCCTCTCGTCTTTCCTTCCAAGAGAACCAAATTTAAGCTTCCTCTCTTTCCCTCGTTACCACTTTTGCGCCGCACCGGGAGCACGCCGCGTAGGTCCCCTAGTGTCGTGCCCTAAGCCAGTTAGGTACCACTCCAGGCATAGCATGTTCCCGAGGGCGCATTCTGTGTACATACTCTCTCGAGCGAAAAACTGTTTCATCGATTTAAAGTTTCATGTTAAAATCATTCAAAATCATAGTTAACGAATCGCCATTTAATCGGCGACTTTTAAAAAACATCGGAGTTTTAATGGAAACAGTTTTGAACGGCTACTTGTTTTTAAAAGGTTGGGAAAAATCGCGTAGTTTTCATAAAAACGTTTAAAATGCATTTTTTTTCTTAATACGATTTAAATCAGGCCAAAGAATCGTATCTTTTCTACCTGTATTTTTTTTTGAAATTTTATTTTTTTTCCTGTTTTGTGTATCGCAGCTATTGCTCCTTTCATGCTTTTGAAAAAAAAATATTTAAAAAAACAACCTAAAATAAAAATTTTTATCCCACTGTATTCTTCAAAGCCACATATTAAATGTATGCATTTTTTTTCCCTTTTTTTAAAAAACTTAAATAAATAGATGCAGATTTCAGTTGTTATTATGGAAAATCATTGTATAAATGAAATATTGTTTATAGCAATTCATTTTGTAAAGTAAATCATTCAATAAAAAAAATCATATACATGCAGATTTATGTGATTATTGATGATAATTATTTCTATGAAAATATTGTTTACGGCACAAATTAGAGCTCGAAACATAGTATTTTACTGATGAATGAGAAACAAAGAGTGTGATTATAGGACCAAGTAATTAATATTTTGTTTTTATTATGTGATAACTATCATAAAGATAAACAATAATAGTGTAAATTGTAAACTTACCGGAGCAAGCAATTGTATATATAAGATTAGTTCTCCAAACCTAATCATTCAGTTGTGCTTGCTATTTACCCAAGCAAATGAAAAACCCTATTCTTTTTCTCCCTCTAAAAATCAGTTAGGGCATCTTCACAAATTGGTATAGTTAGGGCTTTCTCTCAAACAATATCCCAAATCAGAGAGAAAACGCCCTTCAAACTATCCCAAATCGGCATCCCATTTTCCTTTTTTTCTCTCTAAAAAAATCAAGTTTGTGAAGTCGATGACATCTTCCTTCTTCCTTCTTCTCTCTATAAACGCTAATGGCTATGAGTTCAGCCCTATTTTCTTCTCTTCCTTCTCTCTCTAAACCGCAAACCCTAATGGCTATGAGCCCAGCCCTATTTTCTTCTCTTCCTTCTTCCTTCTCCTCTCTCTAAACCGTAAACCCTGATGGCTATGAGCCCGACCCTATTTTATTCTCTTCCTTCTTCTCTCTCTATAAACAGTAAAAACAGATATGTGAAACCCAAATTTCTACGGGCCTCTTTTCAATTTATGAAATTTATAAAACTTTAATCATAATTATGGAGTGACCATAACATTGTTCGCAAAACCGGCAGGTCCAAACCGAAGCCGCCCGGTTAGATCGGTACCGGCAAGGTACCGACTCCGGTTTAAGGCCGGTTTTGCGGTACTACTCAATAGATGCCTCTCTCCAAAAAAAACCATACCAAAATAGGCCGGTTCGCTGTCTAACTGACGGTATTTTCTCAAAACGGCCGGTTTTCAACTAACCTGACCTGTTTGTTGATATAACTGCATTTTTGAGTAAAATAATTGTAATGTATAAATAACGGCGTTATTTTGAAATAGAGATTGTTATATGTAGCAGGAAAACTGTGAATCCAAATTTTCACTTTTTTTTATTCAGTTTGCAGTCATTTTTTTATTATTTATTTTCATGTTTTAATGGTTTTAATCACTATATAATGATATAAAACAAGCAATTTGGATTTAAACATTAAAAAAAAAAATAGTTTCTTGGATTGAAATGGCGGATTTTTTAGGTTTTTGAAAATTTTCGCCGTTCTTTCGATAATCTCCTCAATACCTAATGGTTCTTGAAGAAATTTGAGGGGTTTGACTTCTATTCGAAGTATTTACTAGATTCAAGTTTTAATTTGTTCAGAAAACAAAAACTCAGAGGTTTATTTTTGCCCGAAAAGCTGCTGCTCTGAGAACCTATATTCTACCCAAAAATGCAGATTTTTTGTCCATTTATTGGTTGTTTTTTTTATCAAATGCAGTTGTGGATTTCGATCATTGAGGCTTCATATCTCACATAAAATTGGTATGTTTATTTATGATTGAGTAAATTTTTTTATATCAATTTTTTCATTGCACCAGATCATGAAAATTTCATGGATCTGAAATTTTCACCTTTTTTTCAATTAAATTAAAAATACCGAATATGTTTTGATGTTATTTGGTGCGTTTGAAAGATGATCGAAGCCTTTACAATGCATGTATGTTTATTTGTTCGATTATCCAAACATTGAAGGTCGTTTCTTGCTCGAAATGTTGCTCCTTTTTTGGGGTTTTTAAAAAGTTGATTTTTCTAAAAGAAATATTTTGTTTAAGAAAATTATGTTTTTGTAATGAAATTGGGAAGTGTTTTTCTATTTTGCTTAATAAAATTATTTTTAATAGAATTATGATTTTTTAATAAAATTACGTTTTTTGATGAATATGGGAAGTGTTTTTCTATTTTGCTTAATAAAATTATTCTTTTGATAAAATTATTATTTTTGATGAAATTGATTCTTGTTTTTGATAAGTGCATGATAATGTTGCTCAATTTTTTTAATTATGTTTTTTTAAGTTGATATAGTTATATTTGTAATGATGGAAATGGAATATTTTGTTTTTTTAAGTTCATATGCCTTATGTTCAATGAAACGCTACACCATCTTGTATGTGGTTGGTTATTCTCTTTTTCTTTTGTTTTTCTTTTTTTTTTCATTTTATATCAAGTTTTTGGAATGTTATGAGAGTCTTTAAAAGATCAGCCGATTTTTAAAAAATTGGCCGACTAACTGGGGATCAGCCACTGGCCGATCCTGATCTGGCCCGATTCCAGAGAGAGAGAGAGAGAGAGAGAGAGTAGTTTAACAAAGTATACTTAATTTACAAACTCTACTCCCTATTAGTTTAGGAAGTAATTAGTTAACTTTTTAAAACTTAAAAAAGTTCT